GCTATTTGATCAAGCCTTTAAAACAAACTACATATAAGATTGCTTTAAATTGACCAAAAAATTGAATACTTGCTTTAAATTGACCGTTCAATTTAAAGTTCGTCCCAAAATACAAACTTCTCCAAAATGAAAAACTATACACTATTTTTTACATTTATCTATTTAAAATGTCAGTTTATTACTTGACAAAACACAATATTTGGTAAATTTTTAAATTTGGTCAAAGCACCCAATGAGCTCATTTCGATTTTCTCCAAGGAGAAGAGGAGAAACTAATCAATTTTGAATATGTGGGGAAGACAGACTAATTCAATTTCTCCATGAAGATTGAGAAATGGAAAAGCTTTGGAGACGGATATTGCATTCTCTTAAAAATGTATAGGGTATTCTTATTGACTTGCAATTTAATTGTTCACTGACAAAAATTTTCTTTTTATTTAAGTATCTGAATCAAATGCAAACATATCATTAAAAATATCTTAAGATATTAATTAATGATGGCGTATTTTTTTACTTTTTTGATGGAACTAATCCTGCAGAAGCAGTTTTTACAAATGTAGAAAGATATGAAAAATTATAAGTGATAATTTTTCCAGAATTTATTGAACAATTTTCATTAAATAAATGATTAAAAGTGTTAAAAAATGAGTTTATGTTAGATTATTAAATATAACAAGTCCATTTGTTGAATTTGAATCAACATATGAATCTGAGATAGTCAAAGTGTAGCCTTCCCCTTTGTTCTGATTTTTGTTCATTTTTTAACATTATTATGGCAAAAATATTTTACGGGCGTGACATTGTCCCAATTAAATTGTGTATCATTCAAATAATAATATTTTCAATAGGTTTGCTAAATTTTTTCCATATTTTTCTTATATTCATGAAAGTGTTGATGAGTTCGAATATATTGAATCAATTGCATTCAACATATAACTTATTTTATCAAAAGCAGATTCATGACAGAATTTATTCATTAGATCTATTAAAAGAGAAGATTGTTCTTATTGAAGGCCGTCTTAAATCAGAATCAGCAACATACACACAGAAATGCCATGAAGTCGACGAATTGAAGAAAACATTGTTGTCCGAAGTTGAAAACAGAAGAAATTGATGGACAAATCGAAACATTCCGTTTATTTACGAACGGAATGTCGAAATCTTGAGAAAGGAATCCTTTTCCAACAAGGTCGTGTTCGTGCTCTTGAAGATGAACTTGAAACGCCGATGAATATCCACAGATGGCGTTTCTTAGAAGCATCGAATCCAGAACTTCTTAATCTCCTCAAGATGACACAAGAACTCCGAAACAAACTTATGGAACGTCTTTATCGAATCGACAAACTTAAAGTTCTTCGTGAAGAACGTCGTAAACTTCTTGTTCGCGAACAAAGGAAAGTTGGAAGTCAAACGAAAGATGACGGTGATGAAGAAATTAGAATTCTTGAAGAACAGCTCGAAATGAAGACGAAACAACTTCAAGAGATCGAAACAGAGCTGTTTGATCGCTCAAGTAACATCGATGAACTTAAGAAGAGTGTTGAAGAAGTTCGTGGTGAACTCAATTACACTAAATCATCATATTTCATGGAGAAGAAGAAAGTCCACGAGATGAGGTCATCAACACAGTCAAAAACAGAAGAAATAGCAGGAAACACAGCCAAGTTCATTGGCGGTGGATTCCCAGTCAGTTCAGTTCCTTCAACAGCACAATCTATCTCTGCAATCGAAGGGAACAAGATAAACAAAGCAATCGTAATTCCGAAAGTAACAAATTCTCGTCCTTCGAAAGTTTTACCTAAAGGATGGAATCCATCACGACAAGCACTCAAACCTTTCTTACCAACTGTCTCCGAACTTCGTGCTTAATTATTTCTATTTCTATATTGTTTTTTTTTATTTGTTATTTTATAAATTGTTTGATTTACTTTATTTAATATTAAGAATTCATTTGAAGTTAAAAAAATTTCATACACTCTCAAAACTAATAAACGCCTATTTTTAAATCCTGCAAATCCAGATACAATGAAATTTCTATGCATTTATTGCTTGCGATGTTATTTTTCTTAATTAGTATTTCACAATATCCAATTAGAAATGTATTGCTTCCTTTTGGTTTGTTTTCTCCTCATTTAAAAATTGAAAAATTAAAAGCAAAGTTTTTATAAAAAAGAAAAGATTTAACAGCTTAAATAATTTGTTTTGCCGTTGAACAGAATAACGACTTTTGTCGACATAATACTGCCATTTATATCTATACTTTGCGTGAAAATAATCCTGCAGTTGCAGTTTTTGCAAACTTTGAAAGAAAAATCGATTTAAGGGAGATTATTCTATGAGAAACTATTGAGCAGTTTTCATTAAATATATGAGTAAACGTATTAAAATCGTAACCTTCTTTTATATTCTTAAATATAACAGTTCCTGATCCTGTGGTTGAATTAGAGTCAACATATGAATCTGAAATAGTCGAATTATAACCATCTATATCTTGCCCAAACATGTATTTTGCAGTGTTATTTAAAAATATGCAGTGATCTAAATTAGTTTTGGATATACAATAAAATAGAACTTGGTTTTTATCTGCTCCACATTTATTTCCAATAATATTACAATACGAAACTGTATGAGTTAATGAATAATCTGAAGAGGAAATAAAAGCGAAAAACTTTCAATTTGAGCGTTTTCTCTAAATGTTGAAAAATTATATGTACCCGAATTTCCTAAAAGTCCAATAGTTATTGATGAATACATTTGTTGTTTGTGATGTTGTTATTATCAAAACATATATCGCCAAAAGAAATACCAAATGTGTAACTTCCTTTTTCTTCATTTTCTCCACATTTAAGAACAGAAACTTCAATTGCATAGTTTTTATTAGAAAGGTATTGCTTAGCAGCTTGAGCAAATGCCATAGCTTGCTCTGCTATTGACGCATAATAACATGTTCGATGTTGGACGAACTCTCCATCTGCTTGGCAGTTATAATAAACAGACCCTCCACCATATTCTGTGGTGGAACTACAATTGGTAAATACTGTTTCTTCAAGTAATGTACACACTTTATTAGTTCTTTGAATGCAAATTGCGCCAGTTTCTTTGCATTCTTTATAGAAACAAAGTAAAACATAATAATTATTGATACTGCTATTATCAAATAATACGGTCCCATTTTGTATATAGTCACATTTATCTTTACTACCAAAATATTGATCCCAGCTGGACTTTTTTGCATTTTTCAAATTTAATATGTGCATTTAAATATGCCGAAGATTGATTAGGTTTAATCATCTAGTAATGAATATTATTCTTCTCTTTGTTCTGTATCATAAAGTTCATCACTGCAAGATTTGTCTGTATTTTGTCGCATAATAAAGTCGTAAAAATATTTTTACGGGTGTGAACTATCCAAAGAAAAAGAATTTCCAATTTAAACTGTGACATCGCTAATGATCGAAAAATTAACAATTTTAATAAGGATCTAATTTGTAGAAATAACAACAAGAACCTCCAAAATCCAAAATACAAAGGGACGAACTTTAAATTGAATGGTCAATTTAAAGCAAGTATTCAATTTTTTGGTCAATTTAAAGCAATGAATGAGAAAAACTTTGAGCTTAGGGCTAATGAAGGTTTTTACAACGTAGATAGATAGACAAATGTATATGTCATCATTCCTATGAGTATGGTAGATTTCTATAAAAAGTGAGTGCAATATCACATTGCATTTCGAAACATGAGAGAAATAAGCATATATATACGTTATTACATATATATCTATATGCTATTCTATATTATTACAATGTTAAAATAAGAAAAGCTCTAAGAGTCTCATTTGAAATATAATCTATGTTATTTTTATATAACAATTATCAATGAGAATGTAAATTATATTTGATTAGACGATAAATGATGAATAGACTTAATTATTTATGATTAGACATGTGTGAATAGAAAAATTTGTTAACATTTATGAAGATAATGTGTTTTGATTGAGATTACATTTGTGCTTAGTGGGATATTGCTATTATATTGCATTTATATGTGTAAATTAGGAAAACTCGCACTTTTTCACTTGAATGTGATTCATTGAATTTTAATTCAAGAAAGGAGTTTACAAATGCAGAGTATTGTTCCTTTACCCTGCATTTGTAAACTCCTTTCTCGAATAGCTTGCACTTTTTCACTTGAATGTGATTCATTGAATTTCAATTCAAGAAAGGAGTTTACAAATGCAGAGTATTGTTCCTTTACCCTGCATTTGTAAACTCCTTTCTCGAATAGCTTGCACTTTTTCACTTGAATGTGATTCATTGAATTTCAATTCAAGAAAGGAGTTTACAAATGCAGAGTATTGTTCCTTTACCCTGCATTTGTAAACTCCTTTCTCGAATAGCTTGCACTTTTTCACTTGAATGTGATTCATTGAATTTCAATTCAAGAAAGGAGTTTACAAATGCAGAGTATTGTTCCTTTACCCTGCATTTGTAAACTCCTTTCTCGAATAGCTTGCACTTTTTCACTTGAATGTGATTCATTGAATTTCAATTCAAGAAAGGAGTTTACAAATGCAGAGTATTGTTCCTTTACCCTGCATTTGTAAACTCCTTTCTTGAATATCTTCATTTCTTTTAATTATAAAGATCACATTCTGTATAAAACTCCTCAAATATCCTCAATTTCCCATTACAATAATAAATAACCATTTTCTATATTTCTTAAATTTCTCTAATCCTTAATTTTCTTATCAAATTTGTTATTTTTTCAATAATTTTTAAAATTTTCTAATATTTTTTGGAAATTTTTATTTAATTTTGTGAGAAATTTATTCAATTCTTATTATATAATAATATTATTCAAAAATATTGTTGTAATTTTTCAGTGATTACGATAATTTTTAATTCAATTTTTAATCGAATGTTTTGATGGGACGAGCTTACTGAGCATTGGCTCATCCCATCAAAACATTCCATTCAAAACTCTGGCCTTCATCGAGGCCAGAGCTCACAATTCATCTCCTCAGAGCCAAGTTCCTCGACGGTCGTCCTCATTAGGCACGATCCGAGAGGAACTTGGCTCTTCATTAAAATCACAAGCTCTGGCCATTGCTAAGGCCAGAGCTTCGCAAACCATCCTCGGGGCCGGTTTCCTCAAAGACCGCCCTGATTCAGGGCGGCCGGAGAGGAATCCAGCTCCGAGAGAGTGCCCATACGAAGCTCTGGCCTTAGCAGTGGCCAGGGCTTTCAAAAACAATCCTCAGGGCCGAGTTTTGCGATGATCGTCGATCATGTCGACAGTCTCGCAAGAACTCGGCCCTGAAAGACATACAGATACATGCTCTGGCCCCAGCAAAGACCAGGGCTTCGTTTTAAATACCCAGGGCCGGCTTTCTCAAATGCAGCCCTTATCCCGGGCGGCAGGAGCGGAATCCGGCCTTGGGATACTTACCAAACGAAGCTCTGACCCTAGCAAAGGCCAGAGCCTACAAATGCAATCCTCAGGGCCGATTTTGAGGGAGATCGTCCACATCATTGACGATCTCCTCTCATTTCGGCCCTGAAAGAAAGAAATACACAGGCCCTGACCATAGCAAAGGCCAGGGCTTCGCTTTAAATCCATAGGGCCGGCTTTCTCAAATGCCGCCCTTATCCCAGGCGGCAGGAGCGAAAACCGGCCATGGGAATCCTACAATACCAAGCCCTGGCTCCTACTGAGGCCAGAGCCTGCAAAATTCATCCTCAGGGCCGAGTTTTGCGATGATCATCCACATGATAGACATTCTCGCAGAAACTCGGCCCTGAAAGACGTAATATCACAGTCTCTGGCCTCAGTAGAGGCCAGAGCCTCGCTTACATTACTCAGGGCCGGCTTTCTCAAATGCCGTCCTGATCTATGGCGGCAGGAGAGAAATCCGGCCCTGGGAAGCATGAAATACGAAGATCTGGCCTTATAAGAGGCCAGAATCTGCAAATACTCCCTTCTCTACAGATTATGATCCAATGTAACACAGAAAGCCTAGAAGGAAGCCCTTTCTCAAGGTTAAGACTTCCTTCCTGGCTTTCTGATACTGGATGGAGTGGAGTTTGGCTTCCATTGCAACTCCTTCCAGGAAGATCAAATGATTACACAAAAGTCATGGCAATTGTATTCTAACACTATAAATACAATTGCCATGGCCTACAATTGCGAGTGCCTGCTGCTTCAGCAGAGATTTGCAGCAGACACTCGCAATGTTAACCAAAATTCGTCTGAAAGTTAGAAGATGGGCTTTTTCTCAAGGTCAAAGTCCATTTCCTAACCTTCTTATATTATTTATTATTAAAATAACCATTTTGACAGATTATTATTTTTTATCCCGGCATCATCAGCTTGTCATTCTAAGCTTATCATTTTCAGCTTATACTTATAAATTCTAAAACAGTGATTATTGAATTCACGGAATAGAACACCACATTAAGAAATATTATTTACTAACTTTTTCAATAATTAAAAAATATCAATGATACTTAAGTGTCATCACATACAACACATTCTTATGATCATCATAATATATATTATAGAATATTGCATAATAATCCAAATTCAATTTCAATATTAAAGTGTACTATCCATTATCTCTTAACATCATAACATACTCAACGAGTACTGATCATATGCTATTGATCAAGCCTTTAAAACAAACTACATATAAGATTGCTTTAAATTGACCAAAAAATTGAATACTTGCTTTAAATTGACCGTTCAATTTAAAGTTCGTCCCAAAATACAAACTTCTCCAAAATGAAAAACTATACACTATTTTTTACATTTATCTATTTAAAATGTCAGTTTATTACTTGACAAAACACAATATTTGGTAAATTTTTAAA